AGTGCTGGGATTACAGGCATGAGCCACCACACCCGGCCATTAACGTTTATTTAAAAATAAAATAAGCTACTTAGAATACAGTTACCTTTTTGTAGTCATTTAACAAGAGCTATTTTAAAATTTTTATGTTTCCTTTTTACTAATCATAAGAGAGCTGGAGTAAACAATATCTATTTAGTTCTAGGTCATTTTTGCCAACAAAGATCCTGGATATCAAGGGGCTCTCTGACAGAGTTCTTGGGAATTCAACTTAATGAACGGTTTAAAGGCGAGAGCAAAGGCCCTGCACAGAAACGCTGTGTTGAATGCAGAAAGTCTAAAGTGTGTTTCCTCACTCCCCAAACAATGTCTAGATTCTAACGAACTTCACGAACGAATTCTCGTTTGTAGACTGTGACCACGGGCAAGAAAAGTAACCTGAGATTGTACAATATTTATTCTGTACAGCTGGGGAAGCAAAAGGCTACTACTGACCCTAGAGCCTGAGAAGTTGGGATCCACTACTTTAAGTCCGTAGGATAGGTTTAATAAAAAGAAATGACTTCTGAGATTGCTTTCAGTCCCACTTCCTCTAATTGGACACCCACCCTTCAAATCGCTACTGAATTTCCTAGTGTCTAATTTCCTGCCACAGAATCCTCTGCCCCGGCTGCACAGCAGACGAGCTTTCCTGCTCTACGGGGATCGCCAATCACATCCACTCAAGGTGGCTCGTGTCTCTGAAGCAGTCCCATGTCCTCTCCAGCCTGGTACGGTCCCCATGGGGAAGAGCACCCTCCTGAATAGGGAGGAGAGGGGTGTTTATGAAACCCGTGGGATCCCGGATCAAATGATGCATTCGGTGCGAACCTAAGTGACTTTCGACCGAAAGTGGCGGGCCCTCGCTCCCACTGCTCTAACCAGGCGCTGGGACGCGGGCCGGCCAGGCCAGACACCTGCTGGCACCCGGGAAGGGCTAGTCCCGGCCAGAGGTGTTGCCCGACGCGGCCACTCAGGCCGCGCTCATTGGCCAAGTGTCAGGCCCTCCCCCTCCTCGGCCGTGCTCAGATGAAGCCCGGAGGGGAGCCTCCCGAGCCCCTTTGCTCACAGGAGCCAGCCCAGCAGTTGCCTCAACTCCTCGGGGCTGGGGGCTGAGGGCCGGGGGGAGGTGGCCCCAGTGTGAGAGGAGGCCGCGGCTGGGGCCGGTGGCCTGAGGAGCGCGGGGCCTTCCCCGGGATGACTCCGCTGACAGGTCTGTGACAGGCGTCCCAGGGAGGGAGACACATGCAGGGCCGTCGGCTCTGCAGCAGGGCCTCTCCGCCACGCCGAAGGGCCAGATTTACCTCAGGGTAGACGCCGCCGCTTCTCCCTCTCATGGGCTCTGCAGGCCGCCATTATCGGGCAGCTCGCGCCTCCGCTGCCGCCGCCTCCAGTCAGCAGCCGGCGCGCGCCCCCGTGGTGCGCGCGGACACACCCCCTTACGCCGACGGCCCCGCCCCCCTCCGGCTTTCCGTAGCGCGAGCCGGGACGTTCCGCGCCACCGACGAAGCGCGCGGCCGGCGGTCCGCTCGCCTCCTCCCTCTCCCGAGGATTTGTGGAGCCCGGAGTCGTCGGAGGTGTGCGCGCTCCGGAGCGCACCACTGGTGCTGCTCCCCACAGGGGTGGCCGGGCCCTGGAACCGCGACGCCACGCCACGCCGGGGCTCGGCCACCCTCCAGCTGCAGCGGGCGCTCAGGGCCGCGGCCCCAGGGACGGTCTGCAGCGGCAGGTCCGGGCCTGGGGCTGCGCGCGCCCGGCCGCGGCCTCCCCTCCCCCTACCCGCCCCTCTTCCGACCTACCGAGCTGCGGGCTGGGGTGCGGGGCTCGCTGAGGTGGAACGCCCGGTGCATCTTCCGCGCGGGTCTCGGGTGCTTGCGGGGCGCGGTGCTCTTTGGCGGGCCCGCCGGGAGGTGCGGCCCGACCAAGGAGGCCTGGCGTCCGCCCCGCCGGGAGGGAGACTGCAGCTTTTGTTCGAGTCACTGAGCCATGTTTGCGGGCAGTGCAGTTACCGAGACGGCGGCGGCGGCGCGGGGCTGGGTGCGATCATCTGGGAGGACGCCGTCCCCTGCCCCGCCGGCGCGGTGGTATCTCCCTTAAAGAAGCCGGCACATCATTGTTCCCCGGCCGCGGCCGCAGGGAGCCAGGGCCACCTCCTCGGCGTGGGGAGTGAGCGGACGGCGGCGCCTGCACCTGGCTGCGGTGCCCGTGGCGCCCCCCGGAGGCTCCTGGTGGAGGGTTTGCCTGCAGTCGGCGCGCGGGAGAAGCCTCGGTATGAGCCAGGATCCACCGCGCTCCGGCCGCTCTCGGGGCGGGACAGTCAATGGGGGCCCCGCCGCTGCCGCAGTCGCTCGGCTGCCACACGGTGTCAGTCAGATCCCTCACGCTGTCGGCCCCACAGCCAGCCCGGGGTCACTCAGGCCCGCATCTCTCAGTCATCCAGTTGTTAGATCAGTAAGCATCTGCCAGAAACGTCCATTCCTTCTTCCCCGATTTGTTCTGCACCCATTACTTCTCAGCAGGGTGATGATTCCTCCTCCTTATATAGCGCTCGCTCTGTAAGGCACGATGTACAAAGAATCCCTGTCGCTGTGCTCAAAGATCAACCCATTTTATTTTCTGCCCTCCATTTATTCCCCTTCTCCCGAGAGTCTGGCACTGGGTTAGGTCTTTATATAAATGATCTTGCTTAATCCTAACCAGACCCCACAAGGCGAGGTTTTATTATCCTGTTTTTACAGGTGAGGAAACACCTGCCTCTTTTCACTGAAGTGTCTGTTTTGGGATGTGTCTACCTTGAATACCCACTCCTAGTGTAACACCCCCTCCCCTTAAAAAAAACAAACAAACTAAAAAACCCACAACGATTCTGTAATCTGTTAAGATTTTTGTCATGAGTGCCATCCAAGTGTCAAGTCTTCAGCTGTTTGCTGGAAACACTGGTGTCAGCCAAGACTTATTTCGTGCCCTCAAAAGTAGCGGGAAAATATAGAAGGCTCTGCGAAGACAGCTAACTACCTGTGTGGGTTATTGATCCGAATCAGGGGAGGGACCTCTCTCTCAATCAAAGTAGCGTTTTCATTTTGTCTCAATCATTAAGTATCATAGGAACCCTTGCTCTCAAGTTGGCTGCAGATGAGATTTGAAATCCACTCTCACCCCCAATTTAGGCTCACAGTTAAGTCTGTGAGGTGGGTTTAGATCTTGTGGGGCCTGAAGCTTAAATAATTTGGGGTGTCCTCCTGAGAAGAAAGGTTATAAAATGGCCCTGGGAACACATACCTGGAACATTGGAAAGGGTCCCTATAAGTAAAGGACTCTGAGGCTTAAGATTCATTAGCTTCAGGGTAAATGCTCCCTGAGCTTATGTTATGTAATTCCGTTCCAAAAAAAAAAAAAAAAAAAAAAAAAAAAAAAGGGAAAAAGAGAGATTCTCTGCTTCAGCCTCCCAAGTAGCTGGACATAGGGCCCAGGCCCACCACCGCCGCTAATTTTTGTATTTTGAGTACGAGACCACGGTTTCACCATGCTTAGGCCAGGCTGGTCCGAATCCTGACCTCAATGACGCAGCTCCTAAAATGCTAGGATTACGGTGCGAATGCCACGCCAGGCCTCCTTCCCACATGAACTTTTTTCACGCCTGCATAGTACTACTTCCATCCTGTGTTGTACTATAATTTAGTCAAACCAGTTCTTTATCATTAAACAATGTGAGCATTCCACACAAACACACCAAAACCAACTTTTGCTATTCATTAATGCCATAATGATGGCCCTGTACAGTTACAGGTTTTGTTGGTTTTTTGTGGCGTGGTTCCAGGTATTTACATAGCGTCAGATTCCTCGGAAATTAGTATTTGGTCCATAGGGCTACCTGGATCAAAATAGGTATGGCCTATATATTGTCAAATTCCTTGTTACAGTATCACCTTTGCCTTCCCACCAGCCATGTTGAAATGCCTAGCCCTTAGAGGATTGATACCGTATCAAAGGATTGAGGAGGCGCCAGAGATCAATTCCACAGACCAAGGTTCCTGCCCCAGGAATCCTAGTCCCTCACGGAGGCCTACAGGCAAAAAAAAAAAAA